TTTTATAGTTTTCTTTGTACAGGTCTTTTGTGTCCCTGGTAAGATTTTTTCACAAGTATTTTATTTTTTTGGTGGCTATTGTAAATGGTATTGATTTTCTTATTTCTTTTTCATCAATCTCTTTGCTGGCATAGAGGAATCTAACTGATTTTTGGATGTTGATCTTGTATCCTGCCACAATAATAGGGCATCTATTTGTGAGTGCAGAGGTTGCCTCATACTTAACCCCAGAACGAGATGCCTGTGTACCTTGACAGAGGCAGGGTTGGAGAAGCACAGATCTCCCTGTAGGTTTCAGTTTACCCCATAGAGAAAATATGCCTTTCCACTACACAGAAATATCAGAAGGGCCACCCAGTGCCATTTCTTCCTGCCACAGCCAGAAGAAGAGCTAGGTTCATGCAGAGAGATCCAGAAAATGGTGTGATTTCAAGTCATAGAGATCGTACAAGGGGAGTATTGGCTCCAAGAAACACATGCGTGAAGGTAGACAGCAAGAAAAATCTTGAAGATACCTCTCTTGCCAGTGAATGGCTCTCAGTGTGCTTTTTGAACATTTACCTTCTCTGGTACTGACAGAAAGCTTGAGTGATTGTCTGTACAGTTATTATTACTCCCATTTCACAGATGAAGAAATTAAGTCCCAGACACTTAATTGATTTAACCCAGTATGGAGAGCTGGAATCCAGATCTTATCAATAACTCTAACACCATTGTTACTTCCCTTCTGATTTACAGGGGACAATTCTCAGTTTTGAAACATCATACAGAATGTGGAAGATGCTGTTGGATGAAAAGTAATTCCAATTTAAATGTTAGCAACAGAATAAGCAGGAATGTGGAAATTCCCGTTGACACTGGTTATTGAAATACTTTTTATGATAGACCCAGATTGAGATAATGAGCAAGTACTCAGTTGATTACAGTATCTAAGTACTTTGGACTCAGTGTGCTAGATAGAATAAGACTCCCAAAGATGTCCACATTCTAATCCCCAGATCCTATGAATATGTTAGTTACATGGCAATGGTGAATTAAAAGAGCAGATGGGAATAAGGTTTCTAATCAGCAGACATTAAGGAGATTATACTGAATTATCTGGGTGGGCCAAATGTAATGACAAGTGTCCTTCTATGAAGAAGGAAGGAGAAGAATCAGTGTCATAGTGAAAGATAAGCAGAAATTGTTGTCATTGAACATGGAAGGGAGCCACAAGCCAAGGAATGCAGAAAGCCTATTGTTGTTGTTGTTGTTATGTGCCGTCGAGTCGGCCCGCAGAAAGCCTATAGAAGCTAAAAAAGGCAAGAAAACAGATTCCCCCCTCAGAGACTCCAGAAAAGAATACAGCACTGCTGACACCTTGATTGTAGATCAGTGAGACCCATTTCAGACTTCTGACCTCCAGTACCATTACAGAGACTGCCATCAAGTCAGATCCAACTCATAGTCAACCCCTCCTTGGGTTTCCGAGGCAGTATCACTACCAAAGTAGATTGTTCAATCTTCCTTCCAGAGATGTAAGATGATAAATTTGTCTTGTCTTAGGCCACTCTACATTGTGGTAATTTGTTACAGTAGTTATAGGAAACTAATGCACTCAACCATCAGAGAGACACTGTGAGATGTCCCCATCCAGTCAATGATGAGCCACCCTCCAGTCCTGTGAGTTTGTGCTACCCAGGCAGGTCATGTCAGTTAACTTGGCAAGGCTGGGTCACACGGATGCATAAAGAACTCTAGCAATCACTGCACATATTATTGCACCCAGCTGGTGTGCAGCTGGTTGGGATAGGATCCAACTTCATCCCAGATCTTCAGAAAGCCAGAGGATAGGGAGAGCCATACAGTCATGGAATCTTCTAATGGAGTTAGACAGGGCTCCCAGGTCATGGCAAAAGAAGATAACACCACCTTATGGAAAGAAATATTTCTCCAAGGCTGGGAAGAAATAACATGACTGAAAGCCTTCTCAGTCAAGTCAGAAACTTGGAAAGGTGACTAAAGGGCCTGGTTGCAAAAAAGATAAATTAGATAGGATTTTCTATAGATGGCTTGCTACTCTTGGCCTCACTTAACTCATATTCCAGGCAGTGGTTGATTTCTTTCTCCCCTGCCTTTTTTCTTCCTCAGTCTTCTCTCACTCTCTCTCTGCCCACCCCCACCCCCCCAAAAAAAAGGTATCGAAATTGTTTCAAGGCATCAAAGTATTCAAATGCATCTACTCTGGAGAGAAGATACTCGACACACACAAATGAGCTCATTTACCACAAAGGGCTTCAATCTCTTCCCCAGGCAGTATGGCTTATTGGAATGAGGAGGAGTAAGCACCACTGTCAAAGCAACTTCACACATCTTCTCTTTTGAGCTTGAGTCAGCTCTGAGAGGTGGATGTAAAAGCTTTTTATCAAGAGCCTGGATTCTGGTCTCTGCACAAGTGAACCTGGCCAAGCCATTTACTTCTTATTGGCCTTATATTCCACCACACCCCCACCACTACCCTTCTGCCTCTAATGCAGAATGACATCTGAGAGATGGGGGAGAAAGCCCTTGTCTACTACCCTGAGAATATAGTGGACCTACCTCTCAGTGATAACCATAGCCCTTCTCTTACCTCTAAACTATGAGATATTTGAAATGAAGTGTTTTGAAAGCACTGTTGTCTTGGGCAGGATGGAAAGATTGAAAGCCAAGGTGGTTTCAAGAAGACTCCCAATAATAAGCCTCATGTGTTGAATACCTTTCATGCACCAATCATTTTCAAACATCATGTTTAATGTTCATGGTAGCTCTGCAAGGTAAGTGTCATTTACCCATGTTGCAAAAACAAAGCTCAGAGAGATGGGGTAATTCACCCCAGACCACAAAGCCAGTTAGGGGAAGAGTTTGGATTTATTCATCTTGCTTGACCCAAAGTCTTTGTTATTTTCCCTAAACAACTTTCCTGTTCCAAATCCCAAATGGCATTGCTAAAATAACATAAAGCTTGGTGATGCTGGATAATAGGCACATGTGCCATTTTGTCTGCTTTGTGTGGGCTTGGGGTTAGTTAAAAGCTAATAATGTTTCCAAGCATACACATTATTATTCTTGGCTTCCCTCCCCTACTAGGTATCTCGCTATCGTTCACCCCTTGAAACCACGGATGAATTATCAGACAGCCTCCTTTTTGATTGCATTAGTCTGGATGGTATCCATTCTCATTGCCATCCCATCAGCCTATTTTGCAACAGAAACTGTCCTGTTTATTGTCAAAAGTCAGGAAAAGATCTTCTGTGGCCAGATCTGGCCCGTAGACCAGCAGCTCTACTATAAGTCCTATTTCCTCTTCATCTTTGGTATTGAGTTTGTGGGTCCTGTTATCACCATGACCCTGTGCTACGCTAGGATCTCCCGGGAGCTTTGGTTCAAGACAGTCCCTGGCTTCCAGACAGAACAGATCCGGAAGCGGCTGCGCTGCCGCAGGAAGACAGTCCTGGTACTCATGTGCATCCTCACTGCCTACGTACTGTGCTGGGCACCCTTCTATGGCTTCACTATTGTGCGTGACTTCTTCCCCACTGTGTTTGTGAAGGAGAAGCACTACCTCACAGCTTTCTATGTTGTTGAGTGCATTGCCATGAGCAATAGCATGATCAACACTGTGTGCTTTGTGACCGTCAAGAATAACACCATGAAGTACTTCAAGAAGATGATGTTACTCCACTGGCGTCCCACCCACAATGGGAGCAAGTCCAGTGCTGACCTTGACCTCAAAACCAGTGTCATGCCTGCCACTGAAGAGGTGGACTGTATAAGGCTGAAGTGACTTGCCAGCATTTCACAATTGAAAACCCAAAAGCACCACATACCATCAATCAGCCACACTCACAGGCTGTATGGGGAAAGGACAGCTGTGTTCACACTTCACTGTCCTCGAGGTGCTAGACCTGAATGGACATAGCATACAGTGAGAATCAACATGAGCAGCAGCAGCTGATATTTATTGATATGTGCTCAACACCCATTGTATGCACAACCATAAGACTAGACACAAGTAACAGCAACTGGCATTTACTGAAAGTCTACTGCATGCACAACTACACCAATGAGATCAGAAAAGGACAACCAGAGCTGACATTCACTGATTACATACTGTGTGCAAAAACATTTGGGGAAAAAAAAGTTATTTTAGTTCAACAAGGTATATCTAGGATATATAGATGGACAGAGAGAGACCACAAGTGGTTATCTGGAGTCACCCTCTATTGTCCCTCAATCTGTGCCTCATCAGTGCAAGAATATCAAAAGGCTATGGAAATAATGCACTTAGACCTGATGAAGAGGTGGAGATGAAGTCATCAGAGTGTTTATGACCTTATGGGAAGAGAGTGCATGTCATTGCATTGAGCTTTCCCACACAGCTCCTACCACCTTCCCGGGGCATTTCCTAGGATTCCAGATGCCAGAAATGAATTTGTCTCTTAATCAGACCTGCCTGGTACAGTTATCTGCAATGGTGTAATTTCAAAGAAAAGAAAAAAAAAAACTCTTTCCCACTGATACTTGAAACATCATCATTTTTTTGGGTGAAGATGAACACATCCATTTCCTGACACCCCAATGTAAAGGATTTTAGGGGGTCAAGTGTCAGACATGAAAGAAAGTAACACAGAGAGGGGTGGAGGCTGCCACTGGTAATGAACATAATCTTTATGGTCATTTTGCTAAGACTTGGACCAATTTTCTAGAACATGAACACTTTTATAAAATGGCCTCTGTTTTGGAATCCAAAGACCTGGGTTAAAGTTCCAGTGGGATGGATGTGCAGTTGCTTAGTGACAATTTGCAGCAAGTCCAACTCAGTGACCCTGTATACAACAAAACAAAACAATGCCTAGTCCTGCACCATCCTCACAACCATTGCTATGTTTGAGCCAATTGTTGCAGCCACTGTATCAATCCATCTCATTGAAAATCTTCCTCTTTTTTGCTGACCCTCTACCAAGCATGATATCTTTCCCCAAGGACTAGTCCCTTCTGGTAACACAGAATGAGGATGATGAAAATACCTGCTCTGCCTACTCTACAGGATTGTTGGGAGAGTCCATTAAAGTCATGTTTTGTGAAAGTACTTTTCGATTATACACGTGATAAGAATGGATAAATGATATTGAACAGTTTGTTTGGACAAGAGAAATCCCATCCACTGAGTTTATTGTTGAAAAACAAACTCACTTTCATTTTCCCTGTGCTTTCACCCAGACATCCTGAACTCCAGTACACTGGGGCAAAAAGAAATATCAATCCTGGGTTATAATTGGGAAAATTCAACCTCATAGTCTCAGTGACACCCAAATACTTATTATCTCCATATCCTAGACATGTTGGCAGTCTATCCCCACAGGTTGCCAAACAGCATACCCCAGAGCTGTATAAATATCTTTTCTGAATCTGCTTGTATTATTGTTTGTGGTTCTTGTGTGTGCTTGTCCTCATATCTTCCTGATACCTTTTGAAGCAGAGATCACACAGGAGTACCTGGTTTGGGACAAGCCTTTCCACATTTGAGTAACGTAATTTTCTATACAGAATAGGTTACTTAGTTGTTGGTTGTGAAATTTCAACCATTTTCTTCTATCATCATCCAACAAACTCACTTTCATCCCATACACAGAAAATGCAACCTCAATTTAATGTTTGTTTTTGTTTTCAGATACCATCAAGTTGGTTCTGACTCATAGCAACCCCATGTACAAAAAAATGAAAGACTGCCCAGTCCTGTGCTATCCTGACCATCACTACTATGTCTGACCTCATTGTTGCAGCCACTGTGCTAATCCATCTCATTGAGGGTCTTCCACTTTTTCACTGATCTTCTACTATGCTAAGAATGATATCCTTCTGCAGAGACTGATCCCTTCTAATAACATGTCCGAAGTAAGTGATACAAAGTCTCACCATCCTCACTTCTGAGGAGCATCCTGGCTGTACTTCTTCCAAGACAGATTTATTTGTTCTTGTGGCGGTCCATAGTATATTCAGTATTCATTGCCAACACTATAATTCAAATGCATCGATTCTTCTTTGTTCTTCCTTATTCATCGTCTAGTTTCTGCATGCATATGAGGCTGTTGAAAATATCATGACTTGGGTCGGGTGCACCTTAGTAGTCAAGCTGACATCTTTGCTTTTGAACAACAGCAAAAAAAATAAATAAAAAACCTTTAAAGAGGTATTTTGCAGCATATTTGCCCAGTGCAATATGTTGTTTTATTTCTTCTTCCTTGGGCACTGATTATGGATCCAAGTGAAATGAAATCCTTGACAACTTCAATCTTTTCTCCATTTTTCATGATGCTCCTTATTGGTCCAATTGTGAAGATTTTTGTTTTCCTTATATTGAGGTATAATCCATACTAAAGGCTGTAGTCTTTGATCTTCATCAGTAAGTGCTTCAAGTCCTCTTCACACTTAGCAACTAATGTTGTGTCATCTGCAGGTTGTTAATGAGTTTCCCTCCAATCCTGATGCCACTTTCCTCTTTATATAGTACAGCTTCTCAGATTATTTGCTTAGCATACAGACCGAACAAGTATGGTGAAAGGGTACAACCTTGACACACCCCTTTCCCTATTTTAAACCACACAATATTCCCTTTTTGGTCAAATGACTGCCTCTTGATCTATGTACAGATTCCACATGAAAATAATAAGTGTTCTGGAATTCCCATCCTTTGCAGTGTTATCCATAATTTGTTATGATCCACAGAGGTGACTTTGTATAGTCAATGAAACACAGGCAAACGTCTTTCTGTCATTGTCTGCTTTCAGGCAAGATCCATCTGACAGCAGCAATGATATCCCTTATCCTTTTCTGGAATGGACCTGAATGTCTAGCAATTCCCTGTCAATATGCTGCTTCAACCATTTTTAAATTATCTTCAGCAAAATTTTACTTGTGTGCAATATTAATGACATTGTTCAACAATTTCTGCATTCTATTGGATTACTTTTCTTTAGAATGAGCACAAATATGCACCTCTTCCAGTTGGATGCCCAGACTGTCTTTCAAATTTTTTGGCATAGATGAGTGAGCACTTCTAGTGTTGTATCAGTTCATTGAAACATCTCAATTAGTATTCCATCAATTCCTCAGTATTTTTTGCTGATACCTTCAGTGAAACTTGGACTTATTCCTTCAAAACCATCAGTTCATCATATGCTATCTCCTGAAATGGCTGAATATCAACCAATTCTTTTTGGTACAGTGACTCTTTGTATTCCTTCCATCTTTTTCTGATGCTTTCATTGAATATTTTGCCCACAGAATCCCTCAATATTGCAAATTTGAGGTTGCATTTTTTTCTTCAGTTCTTTCCACTTGATAAATGCTAACCATGTTCTTTCTTTTTCATTTTGTAACTCCAAGTCTTTGCACATTTCATTATAATACTTTACTTTGTCATTTTGAACCATACTTTGAAATCTTCTGTTCAGCTCATTCACTTCATCATTTCTTCCATTTGCTTTAGTTGTTCTACATTAAATAATAAGTTTCTGACATCCCTTTCAGTCTTTTCTTTATTTCCTGTCTTTTTAATGACTTTTTGCTTTCTTCTTCATGTATGATGATCTTGATATCACTCAAAACTCATCTGGTCTTTGGTCATTTGTGTTCAATGTGTCAAATATATTCTGGAGATAGTCTCTAAATTCAGGTGGGATATACTTAAGGTTGTGCTTTGGCTCTTGTGGATTTGTTTTCATTTTATTTAGGTTCTACTTGAACTTGCATATGAGCAATTGATGGTCTGTTCTGCATTTGGCCTTGTTCTGACTGATGATATTGAGCTTATCCATGGCCTCTGAAATTTGCTATTGAATAGAGTGTAGCTAATGCAAATGGAAGAAATGATAAAGTAGAAGATCTAACCAGAAGATTTTAAAGGGCAGCTCTGGAAGACAAAGTAGTATAATGAAATATGCAAAGACCTGGAATTAGACAATCAAAAGAGAAGAACACAATTAGCATTTATCAAATTGAAAGAACTGGAAGAAAAAATGAAAGCCTCAAGTTGCAATGTTGAAGGATTTTATGGGCAAAATACTGAGTGACACAGAAAGCATCAGAAGAAGATGGAAGGAATACAGAGAGTCACTGTACCAAAAAGAATTGATTGATGTTCCACCATTTCAGGAGATAGCATATGATCAAGAACTGATGTTCTTGAAGGAAGAAGTCCAAGCTGCACTGAAAGCATTAGGAAAAAACAAGGCTTCAGGAATTAATGGAATATCAATTGAGATGTTTCAACAAATGGATGCAATGCTGGAACCACTCACTCATCTATGCCAAGAAATTTGGAAGACAGCTACCTGGCCAATCAGATAGAAAAGATCCATATTTGTACCCATTCCAAAGAAAGGTTACACAACAGAATGCAGAAATTATCAAACATTATCATTAATATCACACATAAGTAAAATTTTCTGAAAATAGTTCAAAAATGGTTTCAGCAATGTATTGACAGGGAATTGCCAGAAATTTAAGCCAGATTCAGAGGAGAACGTGGAATGGGCAATATCATTGCTGATGTCAGATGGATCTTGGCTAAAAGCAGACAAAATCAGAAAGACGTTTACCTTTGTTTTATTGATTATGAAAAGACACTCAACTATGTGGACCATAAACAAATTATGGATAACGTTGGGAAGAATGGGAATTCCAGAACACTTGATTGTACTCACAAGGAACCTGTAAATAGACCAAGAGGCAGTTGTTCAAATAAGACAAGATGATACTGTATGGTTTAAAATCAGGAAAGGTGTGAATCAGGGTTTTATCCTTTCACCATATTTATTCAGTGTATGTGCTGAGC